TCATGATAGGGATAGATAGATCAGTAGAACTTTTAATGATAAGCCATTGTATTTTTATTTCTGATTCATATTTTTTTTCTAGTTAAAAAAAAAAGTGCTGGGATTACAGGCATAAGCCACTGCCCCAGCCGAAACTGAATTTTAAAAGTCAATATGAGGCTGGGCGTGGTGACTCACGCTGTAATCCCAGGACTTTGGGAGGCCGAGGTGGATGGATCACCTGAAGTCAGGAGTTCTAGACCAGCCTGAACAGCATGGTGAAACACCAACTCTACTAAAAATACAAAATTAGCCAGGCGTGGTGGTGCATGCCAGTAGTGCCAGCTACTTGGGAGGGTGAGACAGGAGAATTACTTGAACCCTGTGAGGCAGAGATTATAGTGGGCAAGATTCTATCATTGCATTCCAGCCTGGGTGACAGAGAGAGACTCCATCTCAAAAAAAAAAAAATTTTTAAAAATAAAGGCTGGACGCAATGGCTCATGCCTGTAATCCCAGCACTTTGGGATGCCAAGATAAGCAGATCACCTGAAGTCAGGAGTTTGAGACCAAACTGGCCAACATGTTGAAACCCCATCTTTACTAAAAGTATAAAAATTAGCTGGGTGTGGTGGCAGGCACCTGTAATCCCAGCTACTTGGGAGGCTGAGGCAGGAGAATTGCTTGAATCTTGGAGGCGGAGGTTGCAGTGAACTTAGATCGTGCCATTGCACTCCAGCCTGGGCAACAGAGCCAGACTCCATCTCAGAAAAAAAAATTAAAATAAGTAGATATGCATTAGGGTCCTAGGATTAGAATGACAATTGAGAATAACATTTTATATAGAAGTTTCTAATGGCTAAAATAAAAATCTATTCTCTTTAAAAAGGAGAAAACTCATGGATCGTTTACTAATAAGCAGTGGAAGTTCATTTGAAGCTGATTTAATTCACAGACCATTTTCTCAGTGACTCATTTGCAGCAGGAGTGCCTGACATTGGCATCTGGGATTCTGACACCATTGACATAAGAGAAGCAAGTGACTTTGTATATAACCTGGAGGAAACCTCCACCTTATTGGAAAACTTTCACAGCTGTAGCCCTGAAATTCTGATTTCTCAAATGCCAATGTTTGCCACAAAACAGTGTTGTCAAAAAGGGATTAGGCAAAATGTAAGAGATTTCTTGACTACTGGACATATAGTGCACAGTTCTCTACCATTTCTCAAACATCCATGATCATGGAATCCTCCTGTTGGAGTACAGTCTTTAACATCTGGTAAGGTAAACATTCTTTGGAATGCAGTGTAAGAAACACTGCTCTAGAGGCAATAATTTAGATCATTAATGTAAACACTTGAAGCATTTACTAATATTTCTTAAGACTTGGGAACATAGATATAGAAGATAAAGCCCCTGCTCTCAAGAAGCTCTTGGTTTACATGAAAAATAGTAAAATCATTGCAATATACTATGCTAAGTGCTGTGACAGAAGCAAAGATTATTGGAACTGGTATTGAAGTGAGTTTTGGAGATGACCAGACTTCATGTGATGAGGTGGAAGAGGTTTTTCCATGGGAAGGAACAGCAAACGGGAAAGCACAGGAGAATAAAAAGGAAGGGACTACTTATTATTTAATTTCTATATTATATGTTTAAGTCTGTAGAATCTTACATAAATATAAGGTTTCCAATTCAGATGAGAAGTATGTAATTTTGTGAGTTATCAGTTCTTCTTGCTGTTTTACAGGATGAACTCACACCATCTTTACTAGCTGTACATGAAGAAAAACAGGAAATGGTAGAATTTTTCATAAAGCGAAAAGAAAATTTAACTGCAGTTAAGTTTGAAAGGTACAGTAATTAGTATTTTTTAAAAAGCTGGCTGATATTCTATAGTGATAACAGTTTCTCTAGTTAGAAATATTAGATTAAGATTAACTTATAATTATTGTGAGATAGTAAAAAATCTCAACACTAGATTAAGATTAACTTATAATTGTTGTGAGATAGTAAAAAATCTCAACACAAATCATTGGTTAAGTAGAAAAATTATTGAGGCTGGGCAACACAGAGAACAGTATATAGTAGGATTCATCTTCTCTTATTATATTGACTGGTGTTTGTTATTTGTAATGTGATGTTTTTGGTCATATGATCTGACCAAAGGGTTTTTATATTCGTTTTATTAGTTTTATGAAATGTGAATTTTAACTTTTAGTATACTTTAAGACTTAATAAATATTGAACTTCTCAACCCTTTCATAGTTTTTTTACCTTTGTTTCTTATATGCTCTTCCTATAAACATGCTGTATTACACATAAATCATTATTTCTTCTAGATCACTTTTTAAGTTGCTTCCTTTGAAAAATAGTAATGTTAAGTTATTCCTGCATGGTTGTTAATTGCTATTACCAGATACTTTGGGTTCGTTAGTTTTTTTATATTTCATGTCTAGTGTATTTTGATGTTATTACTATTATTATTGTATTGTAGGCAGAGTCTTGCTCTGTTGCCCAGGCTGGAGTGCAGTGGCATGATCTTGGCCCACTACAACCTCTGCCTCCCGAGTTCAAGTGATTCTCCTGCCTCAGCCTCCTGAATAGCTGGGATTACAGGCACACACCACCATGCCCAGCTAATTTTTTGTATTTTTAGTAGAGACGGGGTTTCAGCATGTTAAACAGGATGGTCTCTATCTGACCTCATGATCTGCCCTCCTTGGCCTGCCAAAGTGCTGGGATTACAGGCTTGAGCCACTGTTCCCGGCCCTGATGATTTTATTTGTAATTGCTATGGGAAGAGGGAGAAATATATAGCTTTAAATGAATAGCCTTTTCTTCTAAGGAAGACAAGCCATAGATGGGTAATAAAGAGGAAAGAGCTAGGCTTTAGATTCACACCAGACTGGGTTTAAATCCTAGCTTTCTCTCTTGTTAGGTGTGTGAGCTGGGAACATTACTTATCACCAAATGTGTTTTTCTATATGAAAAGGCGGACAATAATATATCCTTCAAGGGTGATTGTGTGGAAAAAAGATTTTATATATATATATATATATATATATATATATATATATATATATATATGTATATGTAGCATTTAATTCAGTGCCTAGCACATGTGTTTAGGCATCATCAACTGAAACTACTATGATTATTATTGCCATTATTATCATTTCCTGCCCGCAGACAGCTCTTACTTATCTGACCCCTAGCTGATTTTGAATTACAATATATCTGTCTTTAAATCTTTGCTTGCATTAGATAAGTAACCTCAGCATAGTTTCTTGCTCATCAAAGAACTTTAAGTTAGCAATATCTATGATGTAATACCCTACTGGGACAAGAGGCTTCCTTTTTGTCCCCCCCGCCTTTTCTTTTAGCATTGGTGGTAATTTATGAAGATGAACACTTAGGCACCCAAGATGCTTATGTTTGTTAGTACATGTAAATGTTTAATTCTACATGAACAGGCAAGATATTAAATTGGCAAAAATATGAAACTAGCTTTTTAAATAACTTTCTTAAAGTTCCTAAGAAAGAATTTATCTCTCTGGTATTTTTGAACAGCCCTCATTCTTGCTGTACATTGTGCATCAGCAAGTATAGTCAGCCTTCTTCTTCAGCAAAATGCTGATGTGTTTTCTTAAGATCTGTCTGGATGGACTGCAGAAAATTATGCCATTTCTAGTCCTTTTACTAGGCAAGTTTTTATATTAGAAGGCTAGCTTACACTAAATTGCAGCTTAAAATAATTATAGCTATTATATCCTATATATCAGGTGAGATTTTGTAGTTTAATTCAGGTCATCTTGGGATGACAGTCCACTTTAACAGCCAGAAATCAGGCAAAATGCTACTAGACTGGTTAGAAGTATCAATGGGTGCAGAATTCTTTATCTCAGGACTTTTGAGATCTTTGTCTTAGAGATCCAATCATAGTCCCATTTACTCCAAGTATAGCCACATGCACAGGATAAAAATAGTGCCACATGTCTGATTTTTCTAATGAGTAATTTGGGTCTTGAAATGTTCAGTTTAGCAGAAAATCTTGTACTGTGTTCTGAGGGCTATCCTCCTCAGAATTTTCTGAGGGCTATACCCTCCTCCTTGAATTTTTCAAGAACCTAAGGGGTTTCCTAAGTGCAAGAAGGAAAAAAAAAAAAGACAATCCTTTACCAGTGAGAAGGAAGGGAAGAAAACAACCTTGTAACCATTCTGTTGTTTCCATTCTTTTCCTGCATTATTGCCATCGAAAGTGGTTCCCCTTCTGTTAATGCTTGACTTTTCCATCAAGATTCACTTACTGCTTCAGAGTTCTCAGTTTTCATGGTGATTCATACGTAGACTTTATAGTTACAACTTTTTTTTGTTAACAAATGTGTATGCTCAGCCGTTGTTCCCAAAGCATCCTGCTCTGACAGCTGGGCATTCTAGCTTTAGCCACACACATGGTGAGAAAACTGACCAAACTTCCTCCACATTCAAAACCTTATGTGGAGCCCCATCTTAGCCTAGACATAGCCCAGGACTTCATGGTAAGTTATCCTTTGAGGCCTCATTTGTCTTTTCTCTATCAAATATTAGTTGAGATTGTTCCAAACTGTTAAAGAGGATCAAATTATGTTGCAGAAAGAGATCAGTGTTTGCTTACTCCATTGCCACCATATCTGTACCTGGAGGCTCCTTTATATCCTGTTTAGCACATTTTCTTAGGGAGTGGAAGGTTCTATATTATCCTTCCCCTCAGCATGGGTGTCAATTTGTGGGGTTTTTTCTTTTCTTTTCTTTTCTTTCCAATTTGTAGTTTTATCCTCAAGTAATCTGTTTTCCACAATAATGAAAATCTCCCAAGTTACTTGCATTTCTACCTTAAGTTTTAAAAATATTTTCATATTCTACCTCACAGGAAGTCATTCAACAGAATTCTCTGAATCTCAAGTAGGTTTATTGGGTTTATCAGAGCTAAGCCTCATCCATGACTGATGAGTATTCACGTATAAAGTAGGGTTTTACGCTTGCTTCAGCAGCTCACATACTAATACTGGAATAATACAGAGAAAATTAACATGGCTCCTGCGTAAGGATGACACACAAATTCATGAGGTGGTTCATATTTTGTGCAGTCCCTGGAAGGTCCTTTGACAATTTTCTGATTAGCTCCAAGGAAACAGCATGAGTCAAAGCAAAATGGTTGGCACTTAATATTGAAATTGTGATCTTCACTACCAAAATATTCACATATCGTGATCTATGGAACGAGAATGGAGCTGAGTAAAGCATGCAGATGTTGTTTGCAAATATATTGTTAGTATGTATCTCAGAAATGAGAAAATGTCACCTTGCATCTCCTTCATGGATCTTAAAAAAATAGTTTTATCATTTGTGTCAAATGGAGGTAAACATGGAGATTAAGCGTCATTCTACAAAGATCTACTGGCTCAGAGTTTGAGTCTGTAAAGAAGAATCATAGTCCAAGGCAGGTCTTGATATCCATTAGTTTTCTGCCCTTGGTGTGATTGATGAGCTCAGTAACAGTGGATAATTATGTTTTCTAATTTAATGAGATAATATGTTTATAAATAAATGTAGTTACAAACTATGACATATATGAGATGCCCTAAATTAAAAGCCACAAAGAGCAGAACACCTAATAAACAAAATTAGGATTTAAAACATTTCCCCAAAACCACAATGTTTCGATATTAGAACATGTAAAAAACACCTTGGACTTTATTTGCAGTTCCAAGATAGTTTCACCAATAACGTTCAAGAACAAATTATTTCATTGCTTCACTGTTTTTCTGAGCATTCAAAACATGTTATCTCATTAAATTTTTATAACAACCTAGTGAAATAGGACAGTAAAATTCTCACTTTTTAGAAGAAGACATTGAACCTAACAAAAGCAACTTACCCAAGAACTAATAGCTTTTGACTATAGAGCTAGGGCTTTTTTTGTGAGTTAGGGCACTTTCCATTATGTCAGGCTAATGCAAGTTAATTTACTGAACTCTACTGCCTTCAATTCATGAGTACTTCGTGTTTCTTTTTTTCCTTCTTTGATTAGAAGCTTAAAGAGAAGATTTAGAGCTTACAAATGAGAAGTGTATGGGATAAAGTTCTAAAATTAACTCCAATATTATTTAAAATACTCTAAGAATTTAATATATTTGGTAATTGTTTTTATATCAGTTTTAAAATAGTAATTTTACTTATTGCATTTTTAGACATAGCATTCACCAACTAATATATTAATACAAAGAAAATAAGACAGCTGGAAATCCTCAAAATAGCAATCCAGGTAAGACTTCCAGGTAAATTACCATAGATTAACAAATAAGAGTAAGGAAGTTTTAATTACCAAAGAGCAGCTTAAAAACTCACTATGTAAATTGCATATATACATATATGTGTGTGTGTTTTAAATTTCTTCTTAGTAGGTTAGATTCCAAAATTATTTAAAAAGTTATGTGTAGATAATTTATAATCTCAAACAGTATTATCTGAAAGGAATCATTTCTTTAATTGTAGTCCCTAAAATCTCATATATTTTTGTATAAATAAGAAAAAAGATTTTTAAGTTAGTATGTGGTATGTTTTATTTATAGTCTCATTATTTTTTTTTTTTAATTTTTTATTGGATTATAGGTTTTGGGGTACATGAGCAGAGCATGCAAGACAGTTGCGTAGGTACACACATGGCAGTGTGCTTTGCTTTTCTTCTCCCCTTCACCCACATTTGGCATTTCTCCCCAGGCTATCCCTCCCCACCTCCCCCTCCCACTGGCCCTCCCCTTTTCCCCCCAATAGACCCCAGTGTTTAGTACTCCCCTTTCTGTGTCCATGTGTTCTCATTTTTCATCACCCACCTATGAGTGAGAATATGCGGTGTTTCATTTTCTGTTCTTGTGTCAGTTTGCTGAGGATGATGTTCTCCAGATTCATCCATGTCCCTACAAACGACACGAACTCATCATTTCTGATTGCTGCATAATATTCCATGGTGTACATGTGCCACATTTTTGCAATCCAGTCTATTATCAATGGGCATTTTGGTTGATTCCAGGTCTTTGCTATTGTAAACAGTGCTGCAATGAACATTCGTGTACATGTGTCCTTATAGTAGAACGATTTATAGTCTTTTGGATATATACCCAGTAATGGGATTGCTGGGTCAAATGGAATTTCTATTTCTAAGGCCTTGAGGAATCGCCACACCGTCTTCCACAATGGTTGGACTAATTTACACTCCCACCAACAGTGTAAAAGTGTTCCTTTTTCTCCACATCCTCTCCAGCATCAGTTTCCTCCAGATTTTTTAATGATCGCCATTCTAATTGGCGTGAGATGGTATCTCAATGTGGTTTTGATTTGCATCTCTCTGATGACCAGTGATGATGAGCATTTTTTCATATGATTGTTGGCCTCATATATGTCTTCTTTCGTAAAGTATCTTTTCATATCCTTTGCCCACTTTTGAATGGGCTTGTTTGTTTTTTTCCTGTAAATCTGCTTGAGTTGTTTGTAAATTCTGGATATACGCCCTTTGTCAGATGGGTAGACTGCGAAAATTTTTTCCCATTCTGTTGGTTGCCGATCCACTCTAGTGACTGTTTCTTTTGCCGTGCAGAAGCTGTGGAGGTTCATTAGGTCCCATTTGTCTATTTTGGCTTTTGTTGCCAATGCTTTTGGTGTTTTGTTCATGAAGTCCTTGCCTACTCCTATGTCCTGGATAGTTTTGCCTAGATTTCCTTCTAGGGTTTTTATGGTGCCAGGTCTTATGTTTAAGTCTTTGATCCATGTGGAGTAAATTTTAGTGTAAGGTGTCAGGAAGGGGTCCAGTTTCTGCTTTCTGCACATGGCTAGCCAGTTTTCCCAACACCATTTGTTAAACATGGAATCCTTGCCCCATTGCTTGTTTTTGTCAGGTTTATCAAAGATTGTTTAGTTGTATGTATGTTGTGTTGCCTCCGGTGCCTCTGTTTTGTTCCATTGGTCTATATCTCTGTTTTGGTACCAGTACCATGCTGTTTTGATTACTGTAGCCTTGTAGTATAGTTTGAAATCCGGTAGTGTGATGCCCCCCGCTGTGTTCTTTTTGCTTAGAATTGACTTGGCTATGCGGGCTCTCTTTTGGTTCCATATAAAGTTCATGGTGGTTTTTTCCAGTTCTTTGAAGAAAGTCAATGGTAGCTTGATGGGGATAGCATTGATTCTGTAAATTACTTTGGGCAATATAGCCATTTTCACGATATTAATTCTTCCTAACCATGAACATGGAATGTTTCTCCATCTGTTTGTGTCCTCTCTGATTTCATTGAGCAGTGGTTTGTAGTTCTCCTTGAAGAGGTCCCTTACGTTCCTTGTGAGTTGTATTCCAAGGTATTTTATTCTTTTTGTAGCAATTGCGAATGGCAGTTCGCTCTTGATTTGGCTTTCTTTAAGTCTGTTATTGGTGTAGACGAGTGCTTGTGATTTTTGCACATTGATTTTATATCCTGAGACTTTGCTGAAGTTGTTTATCAGTTTCAGGAGTTTTTGGGCTGAGGCGATGGGGTCTTCTAGGTATACTATCATGTCGTCTGCAAATAGAGACAATTTGGCTTCCACCTTTCCTATTTGAATACCCTTTATTTCTTTTTCTTGCCTGATTGCTCTGGCTAGAACTTCCAGTACTATATTGAATAGGAGTGGTGAGAGAGGGCATCCTTGTCTAGTGCCAGATTTCAAAGGGAATGCTTCCAGTTTTTGCCCATTCAGTATGATATTGGCTGTTGGTTTGTCATAAATAGCTTTTATTACTTTGAGATACGTTCCATCGATACCGAGTTTATTGAGGGTTTTTAGCATAAAGGGCTGTTGAATTTTGTCAAATGCCTTCTCTGCGTCACTTGAGATAATCATGTGGTTTTTGTTTTTGGTTCTGTTTATGTGGTGAATTACGTTGATAGACTTGCGTATGTTGAACCAGCCTGCATCCCTGGGATGAATCCTACTTGATCATGATGAATAAGTTTTTTGATTTGCTCTTGCAATCGGCTTGCCAATATTTTATTGAAGATTTTTGCATCTATGTTCATCATGGATATTGGCCTGAAGTTTTCTTTTCTCGTTGGGTCTCTGCCGGGTTTTGGTATCAGGATGATGTTGGTCTCATAAAATGATTTGGGAAGGATTCCCTCTTTTTGGATTGTTTGAAATAGTTTTAGAAGGAATGGTACCAGCTTCTCCTTGTGTGTCTGGTAGAATTCGGCTGTGAACCCGTCTGGACCTGGGCTTTTTTTGTGAGGTAGGCTCTTAATTGCTGCCTCGACTTCAGACCTTGTTATTGGTCTATTCATAGTTTCAGCTTCCTCCTGGTTTAGGCTTGGGAGGACACAGGAGTCCAGGAATTTATCCACTTCTTCCAGGTTTACTAGTTTATGCGCATAGAGTTGTTTGTAATATTCTCTGATGATGGTTTGAATGTCTGTGGAATCTGTGGTGATTTCCCCTTTATCATTTTTTATTGCATCTATTTGGTTGTTCTCTCTTTTATTTTTAATCAATCTGGCTAGTGGTCTGTCTATTTTGTTGATCTTTTCAAAAAACCAGCTCTTGGATTTATTGATTTTTTGAAGGGTTTTTCATGTCTCAATCTCCTTCAGCTCAGCTCTGATCTTAGTAATTTCTTGTCTTCTGCTGGGTTTTGAGTTTTTTTGATCTTGCTCCTCTAGCTCTTTCAATTTTGACGATAGGGTGTCAATTTTGGATCTCTCCATTCTCCTCATATGGGCACTTATTGCTATATACTTTCCTCTAGAGACTGCTTTAAATGTGTCCCAGAGGTTCTGGCACGTTGTGTCTTCGTTCTCATTGGTTTCGAAGAACTTCTTTATTTCTGCTTTCATTTCGTTGTTTACCCAGTCAACATTCAAGAGCCAGTTGTTCAGTTTCCATGAAGCTGTGCGGTTCTGGGTCGGTTTCTGAATTCTGAGTTCTAACTTGATTGCACTATGGTCTGAGAGGCTGTTTGTTATTATTTCAGTTGTTTTGCATTTGTTGAGCAGTGCTTTACTTCCAATTATGTGGTCAATTTTAGAGTAGGTGTGATGTGGTGCTGAGAAGAATGTGTATTC